TGTCACCTGGGGTGACTCGGGCTGGGTGACCCTTCCAGCATGACTCTTTCACTCACGTGCCTGGCACCTCATGACTCCTTTGCCTTCCTCTCCATTTCTTGTCCTACTGGGACTCTGCAAGTGGCTTGCAACAGCTCCTGTTGCAACAGCTGCTGGTTTTCCCAGGATGGGGTCTTAGGGTAGTCATACTTAAGATGACAGTTGGTTTCTACAAGAGCAAGGCAGTAGCTGCCAGGCCTCTTAAAAGCTAGGCCTGGAATTGGCATAGCTGTTATAGCATAATTTACACCATACCCTATTTTTAAAAAAATATTTATTTATTTGGTTGTGCCGGGTCTTAGTTGCGGCAGGCGGGCTCCTTATCGAACTGGGGCCCCCTGCATTGGGAGCACGGAGTCTTAACCATAGCCCCACCAAGGCAGTCCCTACACCATACCCTATTGATCAAAGCAGACCAGCAGAGACTCAAGGGGAAAGGACATAGACCCCAACTCTCAACTGGAAGAGTAGCGAAGAATTTGCAGCCATCCCTAATCTGCCATAACTATAAGATATTTTAGGCATATGTATCTGATAAGCACAAAGATTTCCACTGCTGCCCCCCCCACGCCAAGTATCAGTAAGTACCATGCTAAGTTCTCAGCAGTTTGCAAATGTATTGGTTGCCTTAGGTAAAGATGGGGTGCTGCTACACATATTGTGTATAACTTTAACAACTTTTAAACTATTTAATGGCCATGATAATCAAAATTCTCTATTACTTCTTTGATTTGTACATGTATACTTTATGATCAACATTTTGAGTTGCAAGAAGCATGTAGTATGGTTTTTATGACACATACACATACACATAATCTTAGGAGTATTAAAAAGTTTATTAATGCCTAGGATATCATTCTAGCCTACCTAATACCTTGATTTACTAAAGTCACAAAAGTTATGTTGGCTTTTTTTATGGATATAACTTTAGCCACATTGTAAAGCATAGCTTTGTACAGGTGTTTTCACATGTCTGATCCACTGACATTAAAGAAATTCAACCCTGGGGTCATAGAAGAAGGAAAAGACCTAATAAAAAGCACATGTTAACTGTTAATGTTCATTTACCAAATCCTGCTTAAACTCTTGTACTCTCAAAGCTAATTTCATCCAATTGCCTTTTAATTATAGTCTCTTGCTCAGAGTTGCAAATATAATGGCTTTTTAATATAACTTGCACTGTTCTGTGTCCAGTGTAAGATGTAATCATACAATTTATTCAGTCAGAGCCAGTACATTAGGTAATTAAAACATAAGCACACACAGATTTCTGCAAATGCCTATTTGGCAGGAAAGTAATATAAGAATCTGAAAATTCTGCTTTTGCACAGAATTCTTTCTGGATAAAATAGGATGGAAATCTTATGTCCACCAATGCACACTGTAGCTAAGGCAGAATACAGAAATCAAGTATGACTGTTCGGGAGACCTGTGCACATATCACAGAGAATAAAATAAACTAATTTAAAGTAGGAATGTAAGTGGTTTAACACATTGCTAACTATCTAATCACAGCCTTGGTAGATATAATTCTCAAGGCAGGATAGTTCTTCGTTATCCAAGATGTTAGGAGTTGAACAGACCCTCAGTCTCCTGTCCCTTTTAGAGGAAGACAGAAAAAAATAAAAGATAATGGGATTTAAGATAATGTTCACTATTAACAAAAATGATCAAACAATATAACAGTTAAATCCTTTTTGAGTGGTGATTACTTTTGGGAAGTAAGAGCTGATGTATGCATAGTTAAACACTTCTGTGGTTTCCACCTTTATTTTGGACTAACCAGATTTTATGTAAAGGCAAGTAATGTTTTATTAGCTGTTTCTGAATTACATATAATTTTGATAACTTTATAGCTTTTAAAAAGCATATTAAGCTATTTTTACACACTTATTCATTCCATAATTTATTAAGTGCCAACTAACTATGCCCTGTTACAGTGATGAGCTCTGCCTTAAGATTTTCAGTTTTTTGTAGAATGTTATTTCTCTAGTGTTACCTTTTAACTGTTAACCTTTGGCCATTAAAAAAAAAAAGAAAGAAAGAAAGAATAAAGATACAGGCCATGAATCCAAATACCAGCATGAAAACAAAAGTGTTTATTTATTCATCAGAATTTGGGGTTTGTAAAATGCCAGTATCTGGAGACGTAAAAATCTAGATGGATTGATTTTCTTTTGTAGTTTTCTCTGGATTATGTATTCACATATCTTGTGTTCATTCTTCTTATTTAAAATACAAATGTGGAAAGAATATGTACATTTCTTTTCTGAAACATTAGCAAAGATGTCAGATGACATATCCTCATTAGCTAACCTCCTTTCCCGTCTTTTCTTTTTTCGTTATATCCACATGCTTTCTTCCTGTTACATTCTTAACAATTTTAGGGTTCCTCTTTGGAAAGAAAAAAAAACAAACAAACAAAAATACAGTTAGGAGACTGGCCAACTAACGTCCTATTCCCAAGTCAGAATTTAACTAAGCTTTGGCATCCAGATACACAAGCACTTTCTCAGATTGATGTTCCTTGTACATTTTCACGTTAGGGTTGTAAATATTGAGACTCTGGCCCCTTCAGTTCCAGAAAGGGTAGTCTCCAGAAGCAGACCTGCGTCCACACACACGGGAAACCAATCTTGATCTTTCTTTATGCCCTAGTCCCAGGTCTCAAGTTTACAGCCTAAACCCCACCAAATGAATTTATCTAGTCTTGACTTCTATTTAATCCCACCTTTTACCTAGTGCCTTTCACCTAGTCCTCAAAGGTGTTATTCTAATAGCAACTCTAATTCAACTTTGGAATAGAAATTCCTAGAGCATCAAATTAAATATACCACTGTCAAAGCAAAAACCAGACAAACATATGATTCATCATCTTGATCAAACACCGAATTCTCATCCTAAATTCTATACTCAGGTGTCTGATTCAGAGGAAATCCCAAATTTATGAATGGATTATGTATCCTGTATTCCTTTTAACTTAGAGACTCTGGACCCACATTTCTATAGAAATGATGGTATAAATTCCACACCAAATATATTATAAATAAAAAATTTCCATAATAGTCCACAGTAATAAATAGCTCATTCCTAAGTAAAAAAGTCCTTGATTGGGCTTCCCTGGTGGCACAGTGGTTGAGAGTCTGCCTGCCGATACAGGGGACATGGGTTCGTGCCCCGGTCCGGGAGGATCCCACATGCCGCAGAGCGGCTGGGCCCGTGAGCCATGGCCACTGAGCCTGTGCGTCCGGAGCCTGTGCTCCACAACGGGAGACGCCACAGCGGTGAGAGGCTCCTGTACTGCAAAAGAAAAAAAGTCCTTGATTTTTTTTCCTTTTTAAAAAATCATACGTATTTTTACATTTTGGCATTTCTAAAAGCAAGATTAATCTTAAATTTGATTTGTTTATATTGTATGTTGACTTTTTTCCCTCCTGAAAAGCTGTTTATGGTACATATTACCATTTTCTCCAATGGTGTCTTAAATCTTAAACATCAAACTTCCTCCTACTCTGGCTTCCCTCTGGCTGTGGACCTCTTTCCTTCCCTTTACAGCCAAGTTTCCTTTAAGGATATTTGCACATTTCCTATTGAATAGAGGTATTAAGATTTATGCAACTTGTTCCCTTTTAATGGACATTCAAGTTATGAATCAAATTACTATTGAAATATACTTTAGTGAAAATCCTTGAACAAATTATCTTTGTACATTAGTGAACATATTCTGTAGAATGGAATTCTAGAAATGAAATTATTGGGTCTAAAAAAGTGCACATTATAGTTTGAACTATGTACACTCAAAAATCCATGTTGAAATCCTAACCTCCAGTACCTCAGAATGTAACCTTATTTGGCGATGCGCATCTTTATAGACCAAGTTAAAATGAGGGCATCAGGATGGATTCTAATCCAGTATGTCTGGTGTCCTTTTAAGAGGAAATCTGAACAGAGACATGCACAGAAGGAAGACGATGTGAAAATACAGGAAAATGCCATGTAAACATGAAGACAGTCATCTACAAGCCAAGAAGAGACATTTGGAACAGAGCTTTTCTTCACAACCCTTGGAAGGAACCAATCCTGCCAATATCTTTTTTTGAACTTCTAGCCTCCAGAACTATGACACAATAAATATCTGTTGTTTAAGTCACCCAGTTGGTGTTACTGTTATGGCAGCCCTAGAAAACTGATCTAGCATTCCCCTCCCCAAATGGCGGGTGACAACATCCTTTAACCAACCTTGTAGGAGAGCAACTTCCCCCTGACACCTCCCTGATACCGAACAATCAGTTTTTGCCATGCTTTGCTAATTCTGAAGACAAATAAATGGCATCTCTTTTTAATGCACACTTCTTTGATTTCTGGGGTTTTATTTCCTTTTATTTAAAAATATCTAAAATGGATTCAAATGGATTGATACTATCAAATAACCATTTACATCTACTATATGATTTCATTATAGTTTGATACAATGATAAAAAATTAAATGATTAAACAATATATTTAACTTAAAAATTTTAACTACTCATTCATTTATTGACAATCTACTGCAAAATTTTCATTCTCTAGAATTATCATATGTATTAAGTATAAAAGGAAAAAGCTAAACAGTTGGAAACTACAAACTTATAAGCAAAGTTAATTTCGTACTTATAGTATGAGATATTAAGTCCCATATCCAAAAATCCAAATTGTCATATATTAAGGATTATGCTTTTGAAGTAAGTTCATTACTGACATTACTATTGGAACTGCACTATAATTTTACACACAAAGTTCTAAAATAACATCACAGACTATATAGGAGCATCTATCTTAGAAACATTTAAAAAAAATATACCTTGTAGGGTGGCAATATTGATTTAAAAATTGTTTCCTGAAACAGTAATCAATGAGGCATATTTGTTGCCATTCTTTTGTTAATACGCTTATCCTGTTTGAGGATTATTTTCCATCTTCTTTCATTGACTCATTTCAGCCTTTGCATGAGTTAAGAGGTGCGCTTTCATGTTATTTGACTGAATAAACTTCTTGAGACAGCCTTCAAAGGGACATACAAAAGGTTTCTCCCCAGTGTGGATGCGCACATGTGTACGCAAATTGAAGGACAGGGAAAAACGTTTTCCGCACCCTTCAAAAGTACACGGAAATGGCTTCTCTCCAGTATGAACCAGAAAATGTCTTTTTAGTTTTGCGCTCTCCTTGAAGGCTTTCCCACATTCTGCACATACGTGATCTCGGGGACTATGAACTCGGAGATGCTTTCTCAGGGATGCTCTATTCTTGAACTCTCTTATGCATCCACTCTCAGGACAAATAATTTTTTCTGCAGCATCATATTCTTTATTTGTACATGGCTTCATTTTAGTACATTCTGTGAGCTGTTTAGGATCTGAAAAGTCAATGCTGGGTATTTCTCCAGGAGGAAGCTTCTTGCCTGTCATGTACTCAGAAGACTCAAGAAGTGAATTCTCTCCACCAAACTGTTGAGGAAGTTCTTGTTTTGCCCCCCTTTTCATGTATTCCAAGGAACGTTCAAGAAGTGAGCTTGCTGTAAGAACCTGTTGAGAAAGCTCTTGTTCTGATCCTTGTTTCAGACAGTCAAAGGACTTAAGTGAGTCCTCTTCCGTGATAGGTTCAGAAAACTCACCTCTTATTATGCATTCTATGTAACAGTCAGAGAAGGAATCCTCTTCAACAACCCGAAAGCTAGTCTCATAGCACACTTTCTCATCACGTAAGGTACACGTTGTGTCAGGAGGTTCCTGCGGGGCTGGCGGTGACTTGTCCCCACTGACAGCTCTTCTACCAAGGCCTTTCTGGCCAAGTGTCTTTTCCCTTTTCTTCAGTTTCTGGTCCATGTCGTCCTGCTAGCTCCCTCCGTGAAGGTTTGCACCAGGATAGATCAACCACTTCTGGGAAGGAATGATCTATGTGAATTGTTTTCAGCAAGCACCTGTTTGAGATAGTAGTCATTAGGTAAAATATATTCCAATATTAGAGCCATTGTCAGAAAAGGACCTCAAAAAATGTCCTAGAACTCACTTTCCAATAACAGAATCACTACATTTACATCTTCGACTAACTCTGCAAGAGAGTAAGAGAATTAGCTGTGACATATGTACGTAAGACATGGGTCATAACCATTTCTTTCCAGGGTATCCCCCGTAAGTTATCTGCCCCCCCAATTGATAACGTTCATTGGGCACTCACTATGTGCTAGCCCTATTCTAGGCTACTCATGGGTTGAGACACACCAGTGAATACATATATTATACCAAAAATGTAATGTATGCCCCATGGGGTATACAAAATAAATAAGTAATGTACATTGTGTGTTATAAGGCAAAGAGCACTATAGAATAAGGCAAGGGACCGGTAGAAAGCAGGGACTTGCAATTTTAAATAGGGAGCTCCAGGTAAATCTTTTTTTCCCCCAGGTGAATCTTGACTGAGGTAGTGGCAGCTGACTAAAAACTTAAAGGAGGTTAGGGAGCAAGATATGCCTATTCTTATGTAACACTCCTGTGAAATTGAAATTAAATATTGCGTTTAAAGTGCTTAGCACAGTTCATGGCATAGACCAAATGCTGACCGCTCATGTGAGCTACTGTTAGTTTACCTTTGTATTCATTCTATAAGTAGATGTTGGATCCTGCTAAGTGCCAGGTATTATTCTAGACCAAGGGCAGCAAACTTTTTCTGTAAAGAGCCTGATTTAAACTTTGTGGGCCCTAGGGCCTATGTCATAGCTATTCAATCTCACTGTAGCACAGAAGCAGCTACAGACAGTACACAGAGGATGGGCAGTGCACAGCAGAGACTGATTTGGTGGATGGCTGTAGTTTGCCCACCCTTGTTCTTTAAGATGGGGATCCAGAGAATAAGCCATGTGAAATCTATGTATTGCCATCTCTTATAAGTGCAAGTCAAAATAAAGGCACAGGGGAATGAGTGGTTTTGGATCCTTTTCTTAAAAATCTAAAAGTAGTACTATGAAAGTTACAGCATGAATATATTATATTCTTTCTAAGAGTCCTTTGCTTAATGTTACAATTGTGTCTTATAAAAGATCTCTTAATTTTAGCATCCTGATGTTCTGCTGTAGGAACAAAAATTAAATGCTTTTAAAAAGGAGCAAATGTGAAAGTACTGGAATGAAAATCAATAGCTTGAAAATGTTTTTAAATAGCCACATTAAAAAATCCCACCTCAAAAAGTTTGTGCCATTTACTTTTGGTAAAATACATAGAATGAAAACAAAACATGCTTTTATGCCTTCTTAAACACTATATATACACATATACATATTTATATATGTAAATATATACTATATAAATTACAAATAAAATTAATTATATATTTACTTATATAAAATATATATGAATGTTATCTATGACATTTAAAAACTGCTGATTTTTAAATGTCTTAAGCATTCATATATACATATTTACAAACAAATATATAATATTTTCATTATATATATTTAAGTATAAATCAAATATTTATATATAAATTGCTCAGGGAAGAGGTTTAAATTTTTTCTTAAATATATGCATATATTATATAAATAAATATATATTTCTATGTAATATACATACTCATGTTTAAGAAGACATTTAAACCTCTTCCCTTACCAATTGAAATGCATGTTTTGTTTTTATTGTATTTTTTTCTTTTGCCAAGAATAGCATGATTCTTTTGAGGAGGTTATTTTTAAATGTGGCTATTTAAAAATATTTTCAGGGACTTCCCTGGCAGTCCAGTGGCTAAGACTTCACCTTCCAATGCAGGGGTTGCAGGTTCGATCCCTGGTCGGGGAGCTGAGATCCCACATGCCTTGTGTCCAAAAAACCAAAACATAAAATGGAAGCAATATTGTAGCAAATTCAGTAAAGACTTTAAAGATGATCCACATAAAAAAAAAAAATCTTAAAAAAAATATGTTCAAGCTGTTTATATGTTATATTCCTAATATATAATATATGTTAGTGGTACATGTGTTATTATTTATTCTGTCCTTTATAAAGGTGAAATAAACCAGGGAGACTGTATCCAGCAATATTTGCCTAACAAAATCGTGCTCTCATAGCTAAAAATAATTTTCATTTCACTTTGTATTAGTGCATATAGCAAGCACCTTTGGAGCAAAATCTCTAGATCTAAAGTTTAAATAGGAAAGAACACAACAGTTCCCTCCCTCAATTAGTCCATTTAAAATAGCTACAATTGGTTTGATTCCAGCTTTTCTCTCCAAACTTATCTCTTGCCATCTCCAGTTCTCCTATTTCATCTCCAGCCATAATAAAGTCTCCTTCCAATAAAATGCCATGCTCTTTCCTCTCTACCCTCATATTGTACACCTGTAACTTACATAATATTGCTGTACATCAACTACATTTCAATTAAAAAAAAACTAGGATAAATACCAAACTATAGAATTAAAAAAAAAAGAAAAAACTACCCACTCTCAATCCCCCTTACCTATGAGCATGTGCACAGATGGGGCATGCACAGGTTTACTTCCCACCTGCATTTCAGATCTCTGCCTAAACACCACTTGCTCAGGCAAGCTTCCCTTGATTCTTAGTCTCAATTAGGTCTCCAAGCTAAACGCTCTTCTAGCTCCCTATTTTACACTGACCACAGCCCCTCGGTTCTGATTATTTAAGCCCTCATCTGATTATTTAAGCCCTCATCACGTAGCTCCCTATTTTACACTGACCACAGCCCCTCGGTTCTGATTATTTAAGCCCTGTCTTACCTACTAGACTGAAAGCTTTAAGAGAGCAAAGGCCTCTCCTGTCTTATTCACATGCCCCAGCACTTACTACATTTGTCTAATGAAATGAATTGATGAATATGCATTTAGTCGTCAGACTGGTGATATCTGATTTAGCAATCTTATAAAATTAATTTACTAGAAATTCATTTGGGATGTTAGACATGCTTAAGGTAGAAGTTTCATAAAGTTGTCTATCAATGATGCCAAGGTGTTATCTAGAACAACATCTCCTATGAGATCAGGGTTGAGAGAAAGGTATTTTCTTTATGAATTTACCAGGGTCCAAGTACAGCCCTTACCTTTCTAAACTAGATTCTTATTTGTCAGATGTCTGAGCATTATGCCATTTCTCACACAATATGCAAGCCTGTGAGAACAATGTATAGATTAAATGGTAACTTATTAATTTATTATGAGAATACTCCTGTTGATAAACTATATTCTCCTTTGGTAGAAATAACCACATGGAAAACGTAATGGTTAAATATAGTATAGGATGTTACATGAATTACTTAATGGCATGAGACTATATACTATATTCTATATTTCTCAAATTGTGATAGAAGTAGTTCCAAGGGTGCATCATTTACTTATTCAATCATTCAATCATACAAATATTTAGTACCAAACTTTATTCTAGGTGCCAACCCTTTTTAAAAATTCTTTTTAAATTAAAAAAAATTTTTTTTTCTTTTAAATTTTTGGCCGTGCCGCCCGGCTTGCGGGATCTTGGTTCCCCCATGAGGGATGGAACCCGGGTCCACGGCAATGAAAGCCAGGAGTCCTAACCACTGGACCACCAGGGAATTCCCACGGTGCTGACCCTTAGAGCAACGAAGAAGATAAAAGTCCCTGGTTTTCATAGCATTTTTATCTGTGTGAGACAGAAATGTAAATAAAGTTTTTATAAAATGGTAAATAAAATAATTTCAGGTTGAGAAAAATGCTATGAAATGAAACCAATAAGAGGAAAAGTAGGGGGAGGCTGTCTTTAAAAAGAATGTCTGTAAAGGCCTCCAAGGAAGCATTAGACCCAGCCTGAAAAAGAAGAAAAGTATTAGCCAGGTGAAAGAGGTGGAAGAAGAGTGTTCTTTCCAAGCTGCAGCAGAAAGCACAAAGGGATTAGCTTGCTGGACTGCAATGAAAGCCATGCTTATTACACAAAATGGTGGGCAAAGACCATAGAGGTCTGAGATAAGGTTGAGGACGGTGCAGGAGGGAGCCATTTGCATGTCATTCCCAAACCTAGGGGAACCATTAAGGGGTTTCTTTCAAACAAGGAAATTAGCACGCTGTGCTTTAGGTTAAAAGACTACTCAAGCTGACTTGTGAAGAATGGATTAAGGGAGGCAAGAGTGAAAGCAGAAAAAAAACCCTCAGGCTATTTAGTAATCTAGGAAAAGAATGTTGGTGGTTTGGAGCATGTGGTAGCAGCGGAGCTGAAATGGAGGGAGAGAGGGAAAATGGAGATAGAGCCTTCCAAACTTGCTGTCGGGTTGGATAAAGGGGGTAAGAGAAACAGGAAGCAAGAATGAGTGAGCGGTCCAGTTTTTTGCTCAAGTAATTGGGTGGATGGTAGTGCCATTTGCAGAGATAATTGAAGAGGAAAGAAAGGAAAATAAGTTTACTCTTTATAATAAATAATATAAACATTTTAGCATAAAACAGACCTAGCCATTTCTTGCAACGAGATACAATATACAAATTTTTACAATACAATTTTATACAATTTTTTAGAACAAAATTTAAAAATGCAACTTCAAAGAAAATTCAGCCAGTCATCTGCTTTCTTGAAAGTGTATTTACTTTCCTCCTTTGCGTTTTGAAAGTTTGAGGTCAGTGGCCCAAATAGCTGTAGGTAAACGCCGTTTAAACACTAGAAGTCTACTGGCCAAGGTCCACTCCCCACCTGGTTCCAGGATGATAAAACGCTTCCCATTTGTGCTTTTCATAATCTTTTTGATTGGGATCCACGGTTAAAAATCCATCCTAAGTAGTGAACTCGGTACACACACCGTCTCCAATAGCTGAAAAAAGCAGTTCCATGGAACAAGACTTACCCATGCTACCGCGAAG